ACAAGGGTTATCTATTTGTTACAATTGATAAAACTACATTAACATGCATAATCACCCAAAGTTCTACATTAGAGTTCATTCTTGGTGTTGTACATTCTATGGGTTTTGACACGTATCCACCATTATAGTATCATACAGAACAGTTTCACTGCCCTAAAATCCTCCATGCTCTGCCTATTCATCCCTTCGTTCCCCAGTAACCCCTGGCAACCACTGATCTGTTTATTGTCTCCTAGTTTTGCCTTTTCTAGAACGTTGTATAGTTGGAATCATACAGTATGTAGCCTTTTCAGATTGGCTTTTTTCACTTAGTAATATGCATGTAAGTTTCCTCTGTGTCTTTTCATGGTTTGATAGCTCATTTCTATTTAGTGTTGAATATTACATTGTCTGGATGTACCACGTTTATTTACCCATTCACCTACTGAAGGACATCTTGGTTGCTTCCAAGTTTTGGCAATTACGAACAAAGCTGCTATAAACATCTGCGTGCAGGTTTTTGTGTGGACATAAGTTTTCAGTTCATTTGGGTAAATACCAAAGAGTGCAACTGTTCAATCATATGGTAAAAGTTATGTTTAGTTTTGTAAGAAACTGCTAAACTGTCTTCCAAACTGGCTGTACCCTTTTGTAATCCCACCAGCAGTTAATGAGAGTTCCTGTTCCTCTGCATCCTTGCCATCATTTGGTGGTGTTAGTGTTCTGGGTTTTGGCCATTCTAATAGGTATGTAGTGGTATCTCATTGTTTTAATTTGCAATTCCCTAATATGATGTTGAGCATATTTTCATATGCTTATTTGTCATCTGTATATCTTCTTTGATTAGGTATCTGTTCAGATCTTTTGCCCATGTTTTAATCAGGTTGTTTGTTTTCTTATTGTAGAGTTTTAAGAGCTCTTTGTATATCTTGGCTAACGGTTCTTTATTAGATATATTTTTTGCAAATATTTTCTCCCAGTCTGTGGCTTGGCTTCTCATTCTCTTGATAGTGTCTTTCGCAGACCAGAAGTTTTTAATTTTAATGACATTCAGCTTATCAATTATTTCTTTCATGGATCATGCCTTTGGTATTGTATCTAAAAAGTCACTGCCAAACCCAAGATCATCTAGATTTTCTCCCGGTATCTTCTAAGAGTTGTATAGATTTGCATTTTAAATATAGTTCTACGATCCATTTTGAGTTAATTTTTGTGAAGGATATAAGGTCTGTGTCTAGATTCATTTTTTGCAAGTGGATATCCAGTTGTTCTAGCACCATTTATTGAAAAGACACTCTCTCCTCCATTGTGTTGCCTTTGCTCCTCTGTCAAAGATCAGTTGACGATCCTTTTATTTTTACCTTTCTAAGTCTCTTAGTTTTAGCTGTGCCTCTTATGTACAGTATAGCATTGGATATTCATTTGATAGCCAATCTGAGAACACTTTCTAAAGAAGAGTTAGACTATTTACATTTATAGGTATAACTCACAAGTTTGCTATATTTCTGTCATATCATTTTATGATTATTTAAATATAAATTCCTTTGTCATATGATCTTTCATTTGTGTTTTTTGTTGTATTTAGAAAGATTTGTATTTTTGTATAGTGTTTATCTTTATATTACTACCTTTAAATAATACTCTAGGTTGCCTCTTTTTGAGTTACTATCTTGATTCATTATTATGAGAAAGAATGAAAGTAGATGATGGCAATGTCTTCTCTGCTTTCCCTTACCATCTTTTACTATCAGTTAATAACCAGAGGCAATTAGCAAGTTTATTCCACCTTCGGTATATTCTCCACTTATTCCTCCATTTTTCAAGTTATATTAGATCTATACTAACAGAACAAATAATATTACCAACAAGTCTTTCACCCTCATTTCCATTATTTAGTCTTAATTCTACAGTTAAATACATTGACTGCTCATATCTAGGTCCTATATCAAAACAACTCCAAGTACAACTAAGTATTCCTTACTTGTCTGAAGCTCACTCTCTGGAAGATCTAGTTGGAAGGGCTCCAGGGAACAATATACCCTTAGTTATTAAAGGTTGAGAAGAGCTTGTGGCCTTTATACTTGAAGGTCAGTGTAGTTAGCTAAATCTTTGATTCACATTTTCTCTCCTTAACTACTTTAAATATACTATCCACATGTCCTCCTTTATGAAGTATTATTGTTGAAAACTCTGATAACTTTCATTCTAAGTGCTTGGTCTTGTTGTCTGGATCACCAAAGAATTTTTTCTTTAAAATCTAATGATTTTACTAGACTATACCCATTAGTCAACCATAATGGGTCAATTCTCTCAAGTACAAGGAATAGGTTTAAGTCTTCTTTTGTATCAGGAAAGTTTTATTAAATTATAGGTTTTGAGATTTGTTCTATTTGTTTTTACTTTTTCAGAGACTTATACAAATGTTGCATCTTCTTGTCTTTATCTACTTCTATCCCCTTCCCTAAATCCTTTTAATCTCTTCCTTCAATATTCTGTGATTTTTTTTTTCATTTTCATCCACTATTTCCTTTAGTAAAACTTCTGAGTTGCCTATTTACCTTTATATTCTTTCCAGTTTAGTGTTACTTCTGACAGTTTCTTTAATTTTACTCTTAATTCTTGACTGAGTTCAGAGCTGTACTATCCCTAAAATCTTAACCTAAAATCTAACCTCAACTACAACCTTTTAACCTATAACTCTCTTCTCTGTTACTTCCCACTACCAGTTTCATCAAGTCCTTCATTTCCTTGATCATTCCCTTTTCTCCCAGTCAACTGGTTCCATTCTGACTTTACTTCCTTTCTTATCTAGCCTAGAACACAGTCCATTCAACATTCTCTTACCAGCACTCTCAACCTCCTTGCTGGAGGCTTATTTTCACCTCACCTGTAAATCTTACTCTCTGAATTAATCCAACCACCCATCTTCTTCCTCTATGTCTCATGCAGCCAAATGATTTCCTAAAGGATAAACTAGCACCCTTCTGCTTTTACATCCGCTCAGAAGTATGAAATGTACACTGCTTGGCATTCACCAGGCATTTAATTAATACCTATAACTTACTCTTCTAAAATTATTTCTAAATACCCTGTAGTCCAGCCAAATTCTCCACTTAATGTTGACACCATGCTTTGAATTCTCACCAGTTTGTGCCAGTCAGTCTGTTGAAATACCACTCTTTCTTCAAGGTAGGGATCAACAGCCAAATTCTAAGCTTTGTGGAGGCACCGTGTCTGTCTTGTTGGCACTGTAGTCCCAGCACTGAGTATAGGCCTGGCACAGAGGTACTCAATAAATTTTGCTAATGTAATTATTACATAATGTTAGCACATATTGTTTTGTATTATGAATATCTGAGTACAAGTCTTTGTAGCTCTGTTACAAACCATTCCTTATTGTATATCTCACAGTATCTTTTTTTTTCATGTATCAGTAGTTAGTTCTTTATTAATGCTGCATACTATTCCATTTTAACAGATCTACCATAATTTGTTTATCCTGCTAATGGATATTTGGATTGTTTCTGGTTTGGGGGTTTTATGAATAAAGAGACTATGAACATCTTTATATAAGTCTTTTTATATGCACTTCTTTCTCTTGGGTATAAACCTATGAGCAGAATTGCTGGGTCACAGGGTAGGTATGTTTAACTATTACAGACTGAAAAAACAGTATTCCAAAGTGGCTGTACCATTTTATACTCCTGTCTGCAATGTATGAGGATTTCTGGTGCTTCATATTCTCATCATCACTTGGTATTGTCCGTCTTTTTAATTTTAATCATTTTGGTGGGTGCAGTAGTACCTCCTGGTTTTAATTTGTATTTTGCTGACAAGTAATGATGTTGAGCATCTTTTCACAGGCTTACTGCTCATTTGGGTAGCTTATTTTGTGTAGTATCAAGTTTTTTACCCATTTTTAAATTGAGCTATATGTTATGGATATATATGGTTATATATGCATTATAGATACCAGTCCTTTGTCAGATGTTCTCCTTGTCCTCACAGAATCTTTAATGCTTACTAACTACCCACTGAATGAATAAGTGAGGATCATTTGTTGCAACAGGACCAAAGACTGGAATCTAGGATTCTCTTTCAGACTGAAACAACCTTAAGAAAAGGTCTTTTAAGAGATGTTAAAGGGAAATGCACTTCTCATATCAAAATTAGAAGTTAATCGGACAATAAAACATTTTTAGAGTTTAAAAAGATCGTGTAAACCAACCACAAAGGTGGAGGCTGTGTCCCTTTATACACCAATCTTACCTCTCCTATTTAAGCTAGAGACCACAGCTGGAGAAGCAAACACAAAAGCTATCAAGAGTTAGTAACTGATGTGTGGATTAACAATAAAGTTCCCCTGGCTGCTAATCTAAACTCAGGAAGAAACCCTTAGGAAACCAACACTAAAACATATATTACAGATAAATAATAGCCTTTTTTTTTTTTTTTTTTTTTTCTATTCCCCACATCCAGCCTGTAACCAGACGCTTGGATTGGCGAGGGAGAACCGGCCCGGGCGAGGACGCAGCCCGCGGGGCCAGTTCTCCGGCCATTCCCAAGACCTTGAAGGGACAGCGGGTCAGATACAGGGTTCGCTGACTTGCACTCGCCGATACTGCCTTCCTTCCGATTGGCTGATCCGGGACAGCACAGACAGTACTAGACGCCGATTGGCCCGCCTATTGCCGGGGCAGCCTAGCCCGCAGACTCCTAGGAGCGCTAACGAGGTCCTGGCGGAGGACAGTGCAGGGACCCTGAGGCAGCTACGGCCTACCTGCTGAGATGCGGCACTCCCGCGGCCTGACTCGAACCCTCAGCTCGGGTTCCCGCCTCACAGCCCGACCCCATGGGCTCAAGGTTCAAGTCTTACACACACCCCCGGGCGCCGCCGCCGGCCCTACTCAGGGCCGCGGCCACCGCGCAGCCTCGCCACCGCCTTTCCGCCCCAGCGCCGTTGCTATAGTCAGCACCATTCCTACCGCCCACGGTGCGGAAAGGCGACAGAATCTCTTTACCTGAACGACCCTGCTGGCGGACGCCATCTTGCTGCCCATCATGACCCCCTGAGAAGGGGCAGCTTCCGGGACGCTAGCGAGCTGCAGCGATAACACTAGTCCCGGGCAGCTGGGGGCCGGCCCTGCCTGTGACGTCACGGAGGCGGAGCGAGCGGGCGCTCCTGGCGGGATCGTTGTCCACGGGGGAGCTAGCCACACCCCTCTGCGCCCGACCCCGCCCGCCCCTCTTCCCGCCTAGGAACTGAGCCGCGTGCTTTTCGTTGTTTGGTTTTGCAGACGAAGGTTTGTCATGTTGGGTTTATTTTGCTCATCAGCCTATGAGTGATCTAGGACTATTCCCTTTCCAGACAGCCAGTTTCTAATTTCAGTAGAGTCCAAAATTTAATCTGAAGCCAAATAAGTAATACAAACTCTTGTGGCTTCCTAAAATGAACGAGCTTATTAAAACTTGGGAGTTAGCTGCAAACTCAGAAAGAGTGGTTAATTCCAGGTTTATACAAGACCACCTCATATTCCTTTGCTTATTGGCATTGCGTGATTTGGTCTTCTGTTCCTGTTTTCTCTACCATTAGTCCTGATATTAAAACTCTGCCTGCTTCAAGTTTGAGAGTACTCAAAAGCTCAAATTTTTCTTTTTGAAACATAAGCCATCCATATCATTCTCCTAAAATCATATTAAATTCTATGGTAAATATTAATGTTTATATTGTTATAATTTTTAATGCACAATATGTTATGACCATTTAGCATAACTTTATAGGTAATGTAGCCTTAAGCTATTGTAAAATATTTAGAGTGACAAATTTGTTTTGATGATCTAGGTCAGTGGTTTCTAAATCTGGACAGTTTTTAGAAATACAAGTTACCACACCCAAATATGGGCCCTTCTGATTTAGTATGATTCAGGAGGAGATCAAAAATCTATTTTTTAAAAAGCTTTCAAAGCTTGTGTTAGCAGCACATATTCTAAAATCAGATTGATAAAGTGATTAGATGAGCAAAGGACATGAACAAGCAGTTCACAGAAGAAGAAATGCAAATGGCCCTTAAAAATATTAAAAGAATTCAACCTCACTCATCCTAAGAAAAGTTTAAACTACAGTAAAACACTACTTTCATCCATCAAATTTGCCAACATACATAATTTGAAGAACACACTCTGGGGAGGCTGGAGGGAAAGAGGCACTCATGTACATTGTTGGTGGGATTAAAAGATGGTACTTGAAAAAGCTACATACTGGGTGACTCCAACTATATGACATTCTGGAAAAGGCAAAACTATGGACACAGTGAAAAGATCAGTGGTTGCCAAGGGTTGGGGGAGGGAGTGACCATAGGCAGAGCTCAGGGGCTTTTTAGGACAGTGAAACTATTCTGTATGATACTATAATCGTGGATACATGTCATTTCACATTCGTCAAAACCCATAGAATGTACAACCTTTGAATGATAATGACATGTTAATGTAGGTTCCATTGTAACAAATATTCCGCTCTAATGAAGCATGGTGATAGTGCGGGAGGTTGTGCATGTGTGGGGGCAGCGGGTATATTGGAACTCTCTGTACTTTCTGCTCGGTTTTGCTGTGAACCTAAAACTTCTCTAAAAAATAAAGTCTATTTAAAAAACTTTTAAGTTGACATTGCTGAAACCAGATAGACTAATGTGTTCTTAAAGCTCAAAAGCGGTGACTTTAGTTGATAACTGTATTGTATAATTGAAATTTGCTCAGAGAGTAGAACTTAAATGTTCTCACCTAAAAAAAAAAAAAGGTAAATATGTGAGGTGATGGTATTAACTTGATGGTGGGAATCCTCATACAATGTATACCTATATCAAATCATTATGTTATACACTTTAAATATCTTACAATTTTATTTGTCAATGACCTCAATAAAATTGGGAGAAAAAAAAGCCCAAAAGCAGCAGCAGATTAGATTCCTAGTACACAGACTTTTTATTTACATACAGAGAAACAGCAAGTTTCTATGTAAAAATCTACAATAATAGATTCTCTTTCTGAAGTCATTTAAAAGACACAGACTATCTTGGCTACTTCTCTAAATAAAATAAACATTTTTCATTTTTCTTTATGACTCTATTTGAGAAAGAGATGAAGAAAGTGGGCAAAAAAGTCCCAGGATTTGGAGTTTTTATTAAAAGATAAACTTTCCAAGTCCTCTAATACCAAGAAGTCTCGTGGGAATACCTGATGATACATTCAGAAAATGTCAAATGTAGGGCAAATTACTGGTCATATTGGTGTGGATTTTGTTTTGGGGAGTCTGCCAGGAAAATGCTCTGACTTTTCTCTGCTTGTGGGTTTATTTCTGAGTGTTGGCATTCATACTCCTTCAAGGAAGTCTCATCCAGGCCCCTTCTGGATTAGTTCTTTCTAGGATGAAGATAAAAAAAGTGAACTGCCTCAATCCCCAAATCCTATCTTCTCTTCCTGCTGCTCACTTTAAGTCAGCCTCCTGTCATCAGATCATCTGATTACTCACCCCACTCAGGTCCCATGATTTTTGTGTATGAATGCTATTATTTGGCTATTTTCATGGACCCTGAGCACACCATCTGATTCTACCTCTTGTATTGTGTCTTCTTAATGTCCCTATCTTACCTGGCCTGTAACTCCTTTCTTGTTCCATGTACCCTGTTCCTGACATTGACTGTAGATCTGTTAGGCAGAACTCAGCATGCATGACAGCCTCCTGATATGAAACAATATAAAGTACCCAGCACAAGTGGTGAATTTTCTTGATGAAAAAATTTGAAACTACATTTAATAAAGCAGATTGATCTAACTTCTAGTTTACAGGAATACAGAGGTGAAACAATCTACATAAATTACTAGGAAGCAATCAGACAAATCAGAATAGAGAACTTTCTACAGGGTAACTGGTTTCTTCAAGTCAATGACTAAGAAAAATGGGGTGGAGAGGCCATATAATCTCTGTTGCAGCTACTCAGTTCAATTCAACTATGCTATTGTAGAGGGAAAGCAGCCACAGATAATATGTAAATGCATGGACATGGCTTTGTTCCAATAAAACTTATTTACAAAAACAGGCAGCTGGTAAGCCAAAATTTGCTGATCCCTGATCTAGATGAATCAACCAACGAAAACAACCATCACCACTGCCAACAGCAGCATTTTTGAGAAAAATATATTAACGAAAGCACCGCTAGCCTTGATTTTAAGACTGTGACTGTTTGAGATGTAAAAAGTTCTTTCGGTCCCCAATTAAGGAAGCTGTTCAGAAAGGCATACTCTCTAACACCCTCTGCAGATATGGCCAAGGTTAGTAATGGAAAGGGAGAACCTCCCAAAGGGCAGAGTGGAGAACCACAGACAAACAGCTGCTTTCAGAGAGTAGCACAAGAGCCTAATCAAAAGGTGTTCTCTATCCCCTAGGAAGGGGCATCTCCTATCATTTACCAAGAAATATTTCAGAATTGCTACAGACCTCATCCACTATTGTTGGATGGCTGTGTGAAGCAATATAACTTGTCTTTTCAGTTCATAGGTCTCCAGATCAAGAAGAGCCACATCTGGACCTGATGTGAAGCCTATGGTGAGATTCCAAACTTTGAAGTTGTTATGATTGGATGATATTGTTAGCTTATCTTCCTTGGAGAGAGGAGTGTGTCTTTTACATGCAGAAGAGAAGTTAATATTTAAGACCAAGATAGCAGACTGTGGTAGACTATATTCTTTTTGTGCGTGTGTGTGTGAGAGGAAGATCAGCCCTGAGCTAACATCTGATGCCAATCCTCTTCTTTTTGCTGAGGAAGATTGGCCCTGAGCTAACATCTGTGCCCATCTTCCTCTACTTTATATGGGACACCACCACAACATGGCTTGACAAGCAGTGCGTCGGTGCGTGCTGGGGATCCGAACCAGCGAACCCCCGGCCGCTGCAGTGGAGTGCGTGCACTTACCCACTTGCGCCACCTGGCTGGCCCCTAGACTGTATTCTTTTCAGCAAAAATCCATTTTCTTTCCCCTACTCTGAAACCCAGAACTCCCCTGCTGTGGGAGAAGTCTACTTTCCTGCCCCAGTGATGTTGGGCTTGGTCAATGGAACCTGGGTGGAAATAATGTACACCTCTTCCAAGTAGAAACTTTAAATGTGCTTGTGTAGTTTGACTTGGCCTTGTAAGCCAAGAGAACGTGTTTCAGATAATGGCTGCTCCCTTAGCCTGGGTCCTACAATAATCAGCCAAACCATGGATTCAAGAGAGAAATAAATGTTATTGTTATAAGCCACTGAGATTTGTTGTTGTTCAGCCTGATTTCAGGAAAAGCTAGACTAATATAATTTTTCTCTCAGAGTTAGGCTTTAAGAGGGCACACACAGGACAATAAAATCCCTGGAAAATGCAAAAAGTTTTTCAGATGATGCTGATAACCCATTGAGTTGGGATTCACTGATCAAGTATGCATCTGTGATTTATTTAATGCTGTATATTTGGATCAGGAAGGTAATTCCCAGAATGTTTTCCTATCAGAAAAATTTACCTTGTTTTACAACAATTTATGTAGACAATTTCCAAGGATACACTATGGCAAAAAAGAATAAAACTACACATAAATTATGATTTATCAAAACAAATGAAGTAAAACTATTCAGATATGTTTTTCTTTTCCTTTTTCAAGACCGACGTGCTTTATCTGGGTCTCTATTTAAAGATGTGGATGGGGAGTGGGGGAATTGGGGAGATCTTGGTCAAGGGTACAAACTTGCAGTTAGAAGATGAGTAAGTTTTGGAGATCTAACGCACAGCATGGTGATCAGAGTTAACAATATTGTACTGTATACTTCAAAGTTGCTAAGAAGACTAGATCTTAAATGTTCTCATCACAAAGAATTGATAATCATGTAACATAATGGAGATGTTAGCTAATGCCACAGTGGTCAAATCAACACGTTGTATGTCTTAAACTTATACAATGTTATATGTCAATTATATCTCAATAAAAAAAAGAATCTATAGTGAGATAAATCTAAAATGAGATTTATTTGAATAAAATACAACCAACAGTTGAAAGAAAAATAATGATGTGGATATGCTTTTCTACTTTTTCTAATATCTTGGTTGACAA